CATTATTGCTTATGCTGATGATTAAGAGCGCCAGGCGCAGTACTTTCTCCATTGGGTCGACACACGACCACACAAAAGCCATCAGCTAGCGGCAGATTAAAATGTGTTAATGGTTCGCAAGGCACAAATACAGTCACAGTCACACACACACAACACATATACGTATGTATTCATTTAGAGCAGAGAGTTTGCAAATTGCCTTCAATTAAAATTAGCTAAAGGCAAATCCCTCTCTCAGTTGCAACTTGCAATCCTTGGCTGCCCAGCAACAGAATTTACTTAATCGGTTCTGAGTTTAATATTCAAATCAACTAGGAGCCAAATAAAAGATTTGATGCTGTAATTGAAGATAGCCATTGCCTCTACACTCAAGACAATAAGTCAGAATTCCCTGTGGGAGAACAAGCAATGGCAATGGCGGAACAATAACTGCCTGGTATTTGTGCTACAGCATTAAAGTTTTCGAATATTTTCTAAAATATTTATAAGCATTTTGCCAGTCAAAAATGCTGCTCAGGCATCCTCCTGCCCCCCTCTACCTGAGCTCTGTTTTTGCCCTGGCTTATTGTCTATTTACTTGAACAACATTGCAACAGCAACAACAACATCGAGTTGCTTGTGTGTGTGTGTGTGATGGTCTGCTTATCTATATATTGTATATGTATGCATGTTTATGTTTGTGTCTGTATCCATTCACTGCATATCTAGCCATGGAAGTTGTCTGTTTGCGCATCTCTGCCAAATTCCACCAAGGGCTTGACTGTAAAGCACAGTGAAATGAATAATATTGTTCATGTAAATCAGGTTAGTAAACTTTTTAAAATACCGCAACAGTTGAGTCTGTTTTTAATACACATAATAGCATTTAATTGAATTATGCGCAAAGTATTATAGCTCTTAAATATGAAATATGTAGTGTAGGAGCTTTGAGTTTATGATGAATTTAAAATGGTGAGAAAAGGAAAAATATATTATAATTTGCAGCGTCGAGTTGCTATCATCAATTTAGTAATTCTATTTGTAAATTAAAGAAATAATTATAACCCTTTTCCTGTTTTTAATAATATTCCTATTATTACTCTTACATCTATGCCTATTCATACTCCATAATACTCAAGAGTTCGGAATGAAATTAAATATTTTATATATTAATTTACTTCACTTATACAGTTATTTGTATCTATATTTTCTAAGTAATTTATTTATACATTTACTAAATGTATATAGAAGTTTTGTTTATTACATTTTTTTAACCCTTTACATTTAACATTTAATTTCTATTTTAAGTATTTGAAATGAAAATTAAAAAAATATAAATTCAAATAATAATAATAGTAATAAAATTTGACTTTTATTATATATTAATATCTCAACCATTTCCCAAAGGAATATATTTAAATTAAATTTCTGCTTCCCTTTCTTTACCTCCAAATCTGTCTTGCTGCTCAGCCAAGTCTGTTGATTTCACTTATTGCACAGGTGTTTCAGATGTTGGAATGGTAATGTGATATCATAAGAACAGTTGTAAAAAAAAGTCAAACATATTTGAACCTTAACATCTTCATGTAATGCGCCTCCGGCAAATTGAATGTCGATTGTTCACTTGCATTGGCGTCCTCCTCAGTTGCTCGTCAGACAGATGACAGCTCAGATGCAAAGGCTCACTACTTTAAATGCACTCAGCGGCAGCAACTAGGACTTAAGAGTGCTTTACGGCGTACACACAACAGATTGCACGTATTCGCATATAACATTGAAGGGAACTGGAGCAGCTCCGGTTGCGTTGCCAACAGATGAAAATATGGCTCAGGCTGAGACTGAAGCTGAGAGCCAGTCGAGCTCAGACGCTGTTAACTAACGTACATAGCAGGCTTACTATGCTAGTTATGTAGCTGGTTCCAGAAGCGAATCTCGGACGATCCAGCTGACATGCTACACAGGCTACACTGGCTACAGAGGCCACCCTGGCCACTCACGCCATTTACGCAGAAAAGCATGTTTAATGTTGCTTACTTTGTTTGCCATTTGCTGTTGTCGCTGGCTCTGCTGCTGTTTTTGCAGCCGTCTTTACTAGATACTTTACCAACATATATGTGCATACCTACACATATATTTATATACATATATATATTCCAGCAATTTGTAACATGTACTTGGACCCGAGTCAGTCTGTGTGTGTGTGTGTGTGTGTGTGCAATATGCTGCAGGGGCACACACGACTTGGTAATGGCCCTAGTCACAGACTTAAGCTTAGATTCAGCAGACGCTCCAGCTAACCCGACCCCGTCCCCGCCCCCACACCCACCCACGCCAGCGACGCTTGCCCATCTTCAGTCTCCTTGAGCGGCATCACAAAAGTCAAGGTAGGTATTTTACTTGTGAGCTGTTTGTAAGTGGAAAAGTTTGTGCATACGCTGCTTCATAAATACAACAGAGGCAGAGGCAGAGGCAGAGGCAGAGGCAAAGCAAAGCCGCACTCAAAAGACACTACACGAATAACATATGAATGAGGAATTCAGTTAACGATTCTGAGAAAAGGTGAAATAGAAATATGAATGATTTCTAATCGACTTTCAGGCGGACAACTTTGCTTCAATAAATATACAAATTTTATGAATATTTGAACTCAAATTTCTTCAGTTGGTTAGGTAAGGGCATTCAAAGCTGTTGTCAACGGACTCGATTTCGATGTTTATTTTCGCAGTAATGTTGAGCGATTTCTATTGAAAAGCCATGCGACATGCTCGCACTGCTATTTGCCAAGAGAATGTTCTGGTAATTTGGCAATAAGCATACGTAGTATGTGTCCATGACATTGAAATTATGTTAATTGATTAATGGCCGGCTAAGTGAAATTGGCTAACAATGCATGCGAGAGGACAGCAATGGCAACATCAATTACTCAATGCGAATCAGGTAAGTTGCCTTCTCGATTGACTTGTGTCCGTGTGGGTGTGTGGGTGTGGGGGGAGTCGGAGTTGGGCGCGGCACATGGTCAAAGCCATCAAATAACGAACAGAGCGACAGACAATCGAGCAGAAGCAATCACATTTCATGCATTCACTGCTGCCGTGCTAACAACCCTGGCTCCAGCCCCAACACCCCCGACCAGTGATAATCTGCTCCTGCGCCCCTGCGCCCCTGCACCCCGCTCTGCATTGACAAATGACTGTGCAGGGGAGGCAGGCAGCCGGGGCATGGAAGTGGGGTGAAGTGGGCAAAAAGCACCACTGTCACAGCCAGATTGCTGCTGCATTTGGTAAATTAATCAACCCTTGCTGAATGACGCAGTTCGGAGTGGGGGTTGGGGGGCGACAAGTCTGCAGGGCGACAAGCCATAATTGCGCTTCAATATGCAACCTTTACTTTCTTTGTTTTCCGTTTTTAAATACCCAAACCCGTTTGACATTTGCCAAACAATTCGAAAATCAATTGCATTCAATTCAATTAGAGATGCTCTGCAACAGTGTTTCAAGTGAATAGCACCAAAAGTCAAACTGTAAATTTGACGTCTATCTGCAGTGAATGCTTTAGATTTATGATAAGTCTTGGCCTTTTGCTGAATTGACTTTAAATATTTGGTTGAAGATTGTGGAAAAGTGATTACATATACATATATATATATATATATA